CTGGCTTTTTCTCAACCTCCTGCTGCTTGAATGTCAGTTCCCAGGCAGTTTTGTGTTGGATTGGCATAGGACCAGCTAGCATAAGTCCTTACACATGTGGTTGGTAGGGGCCATCCTCCTACCATGGAATGGATGAAGAGTTTCCGACGCTGTCTGGTTTTGAACTGGAGTTGACCCATTATGTTTGGTCGTTGGAATGGAAGTTGTTATTCAGGTGAAGACAGTTGAGACCCTCATCCTACAACAGACTGGAAAATAAATACCTGATGCTGCCTGGTTTTGGATTGGAGTTGACCCACTGAAAACAGTCTGAGGTGTCCTAGCCACTCTACACTATTTAGCACATCCAATTACAAATTTGATGTGCATCTTTTCTGCCTGCTTTAGTGACACAACTCTTTACATTTGGCAAAGAGTATACCTGGTACAGATGGGGTGCAGTCTCCTATGAGAGTGACTTCATGAATTAGGGCATTACACTCCATGGGTTCTCTTCAGGTACCTTCCAAAGAATGCTCATCTAGGTAACTTTTGCACCAGTCCCTCCTACACTGAAAATCTATTTCTGATAGATTTTTACCTTTACTCACTCTTCCCACCCATCCTCCCTACTTCCAGTGCATCTTTTTGCTTAATCTTTAAGTTATGGTAGTGTTCTACAGTATAGAGAGAGTCAGCTGTACTATGAGGGTGTGTCGTACTCCTCATAGTGGAGGATTATTGCATTCTACAGTGCAGCTATACCACGTGTGATTATGTGAGGGTAGGTGGGAGTATCAAGGTTAGCGGTGAGCGAAAATTGTGCATGTAGAGGTCAGCATAAGTCAAGAAAAGCTATTATGTGAGAGCAGGTATCCACCAGAAATATATTTTTGGTGTAGGAAAATGTTAACATTTCTTCTTTCTTATCCTTCTCCTTCATTACTATCCTTTCTTCTCTGAAGCCCTAGCCCGTGATCCAGATAGTTTTTCTGGAGATCATCAATTGTACTCTTCAGTACCTTGACAAGAGTTTCGTGTTCTGCTTTGTCCCTTCTTATTTGGTTCATCTGTTGTAGAGACCTTCCAAGACATGCTGCCATTCTGTTTGCTCTTTGTCTTCCCCATTATTATCTCCATCTGGCTCTTTTACTTAGCCATAAAGTTTTCATTGGTGTTCCTAACATCTTGAAGATTTGGGCCAAAGCTGCCTGATATCAGTCCTTCATTTCCTTCATGATTTTTTGCCTGTACAAACTTTGTGACTCCATGTACATTTAGAACTGGCATGGCCAGGTGGTTAGGGTGCTTGACTCACAATCTGAGAGTTGCGGGTTTGAATCCCTATCCCACCAAACATGCTTGCCCTTTCAGTCGTGGGGGAGTTATAATGTGATGGTCAATCCTACTATTCATTGGTAAAAGAGTAGCCAAGAGTTGGCAGTGGGTGGTGATGACTAGCTGTCTTCCCTCTAGTCTTTCACTGCTAAATTAGGGATGGCTAGTACAGATAGCCCTCATGTAGCTTTGCATAAAATTCAAAACAAACAAAGAAACAAAACTATGTACATTTCTCTACACTGTGAACCCTCCACCTTTCTCTTTTTCTAGCTCTTGTTCCTCTACTTCTTCTCACCATCCACCCGCCCCGTTGAGTTGTTTGTGACTATCTACCTTTCTATCCAGTCAGTTTGGCCCTGTGGGGGCATGCCTGTTTCTTTGCAGACTTCTAGATCCAATTTGCAGCCATTTGGTGGGTCATTCCAGTTCTTACACAAGGTTTTTTTCATCATTTCTTGCCTCTTCCTCATCTGTCTCCTTTTCCCAATTCCTTTTCCTCCCCCTTCCAGTCCTCAGCATCTTTTGTTTTGTGTCGTGAGGTTAAAGTAGTGGATCTTTTGGACAAGAGTGTTAATTTCCCCTCTTCAGGGTTGTTGTCCCTTAAAAGACTGGAGACTGATGTCCTATCAATGACCTTTCTTCTCTCAACCATTATCTAGTGATTCTTCAGTTGAAGAGAAAGGATTTCTTCCTCTCCATGTGTTCTTTTCCCCTGGATTATGTATGACCAAGGTCAATGCCTTGGATGCCTTTCTACATATTATAATTGTCTAGTCTTCCCAATGTTTTTTTTTGGTTCATTCCCTGGGATCTGATGTACCAGTTTTGAGTTTCCCCTTTGGCTTCTTATGTATTCAACTGATTTGCTCGACATGTCCACAGTCTTGGACTTTGTGTCCATTATTATATGGATGATTGGCTTCTCCTTGCTTTTTCTTGGGAGGCCTTTTTCTTGGCTATGACATTTCTCCTCCAAAAAGCTGCTCGTCTGGGTTGGCTGGTCAAACTCTCCAATTTCCTCAATCTGTCTTAATATTTGATCCATCTTGAAGTACTTTTTTCAACTCTTCCCTCTATTGGGCTCAACCTTTTCCCATTCATCTGTGAGACATGGAGCATCAAGTTAGCTTGACTCTTTCCTCTCCTATAAAGCTTGTGCAAGAAGTTGTATCTCTTTTGGGTCTATCAGGTCTCTTAGACATTTTGTTCCTTTAGGCCACACTCATATGAGGCTTCTTCAATGGACTTTGAGTGACCAATGGAATATCTCCTGCAATCCTTTTTCCTCACTTATGATGCTGCTGCCTTCTCTTCTTGGGGATCTTTCTTGGTTGCTGGATCATGCCAACACTGGTTGGCATTCCACTGCTGCCTCAGTGTCTGGATTTCTATCTCTTTACCGATTCATCTCTTACAGGTTTGGCACACCCTCCTTTCCTTGTTGTTTGACTGAGGATTGTTGGTTTCTACCATAGGAGGCTGTTGGATGACCTTGTTTTGGCTTTCTCTGATTGTACTGATCTTTATCATTGTTTTGTCCAGTTTGAGTGGTCAGGAGTTATTTGGCATTCCATTTCAGGAATCCCACAATTATTTATTCCTGCCATGGGATCTCTCCTCTTCTAGAGATCTCTTGTTCGTTACTCTCACTTGATGGATTCATTGACTTATCCAGATTGTATTCATCCCTGGATGAGGATGCTTGCAGGCTGTATCATGTCTCCTCACATAAAATCCACCACTTGGCTCACACTCTGGCCTCACACTTTCAATGACTCTTGGATGAGATCCTCCTGGCTGGTATGTGGACTACACCTAACACCTTTGACTCCCATAACCTTTACCACCTGGCAGTTTTGTCTCCTTCATAATATTGCCTACCTCCAGTTGTCATTCTACAGTCTACTCACCATTTGATGGATAAGTGCCACTTTACTTCCTTACCTGTTTCTACTCTAATATGATTCACTTTTTGGAATCCACCCAGTTGCAGGTGTTGCCTCTCAGGGCATACTACTTCCCTAAATGTGCATCTAGTCAGGGGTAATGGAAAGTACTACATCTGTCCCTAGCTCCTAAAATGTCCACTGTTGAGATAATGTTTACTGCAAGACCAGTATGGAGGTACATATATTTGTATATATATATATATATTAGTTTTTGCAGTAACCCATTGCACTTTCTACAGTAAAAGACTTTTGCAGCAGTTAGGTCTGATTGAGTCTAGGCACACCTCTGGTGTTTTCCCAACATGAATTTCTCCCTCTCTGGACATTGAGTGGAGCACGGAGACCATTACCATTTACCAGTTCCTGGTTGCTGGAATGATTGACTTGGAGAGTTCTTCACTGATTGTGCAATCCCTCTGGAGAAAGTCTGAGTGAGCAGCACAATGCAGTGGGAAGTAGAGTTGGAGTGTCCTTGTCAGTGTGGTGTGGGTCACCCCTTTTATATGATATGCAAATTTCCCAGTGATTTGGCTAGCCAGATGGAGTAAAGTATTTTCATCCCATGACAAGCAGGGACCTGTGTCCTTGTTCTTATAATTTATGGTTAGTAAATCATACAACAGAACACATATCATACTGATGAACTTTTTTTCTACCTGTCCCTGCAACACATTAGCTTTGGCTTCTTTCTTTCATTTGGGGTGAAGAGTATAAGCTGTACAAGATGGATGTAGTCTTCTGTGAGTGTTTCCTGTCTTGTAAGCACTCATTATAGGGTGTCACACTACATGTGCTTTCCCCTTCAGTCACCTTCTCTGAAAGGAACTCATCTAGACATTCCTAATTGCACTGCCTCCTCCACCACATCAGTGTGGGATTCTAGCTATTGTGTGAGGTTAGAACATTGTTTTAGAAGTTCACATTTCCTTACTTGAAAATGTATTTCCAATAGATATTTACCTCACTGCACATCTTCCCACTCTTCCTCCTGACTATCAATGCACATTATTTTTGCCTTATGTAAGAATGAAGTTAATTTAGATTGCAAGTTCTTTTGGGAATCTACTGCACATGGAAGATATGTCACCCTCCTATTTGTGGAGAGCTATTGTCACATGATGATTACATCATGTATTAGTGTAGTTCACATGTACCTTAGGTGGGAGCCAGCTCAAGGCTAATGGCATGTGCAAAATCTCAAAGGTAGATGCAAGTGGAATAGCTATTGTGTGGAGAGAGGTAAGTATTTATCAAAAATACATTTTCAGATAAGGAAAATATGAATTTTAGAATTTTTTATTATTAATAATATCTGATTTTTTTGCCCCCCCCCCAAATGGCACAGCGGTATGTCTGCGGACTTACAATGCTGGGTTTTGATACCTGTGGTGGGCAGAGTACAGATAGCCCATTGTGTGGCTTTGTGCTTAACTTCAAACAAACAGTGATTTTTTTATATGTCAAACTATTTGTGTTTTACATGTAGCAGTAAAACACAATATAGCATAACATTAAGAAGCCATCAAGATTAGGTAATTACTGTTATAGTCATAATGTCTTACATGAAATATAAAATTGTAATGTATTTAGAAACATTACTGTTTATTTAATTGTAAATGATACACATTGATGAACAGAGTGAAAGTATTTTTGAACTTGAGCTACATGTATTTGAGTTCCTGTCATAACCTAATTTTGATAGATGTTTTATACATTCAAATGTTTTTTTAGGCTTTGTTCATCATTGCTGTTTTTCTTGTTGGGTTGATATTTGGTTACCTGGTGCGACGAGGAGTACATGAAGTTATTCAGCATAAGGAAACCTGTTCAAGCAGAAATGTTTATAGCTTTAAGAACCAGAATGCTCAATCACTTCATAACTATATTGACCCCAGTAAAATAGCTGTTTGGCTAAGGTGAGGAAGCGTTAGAAGACTTAGTATATCATGTAGATGGGTCATATTTAGTTTATCTCTATATTTAAAATATATGCTATATTTTTTTAGCTAACATGTAATTACTTCTTACTGTACCTTGTAACATTTCCTATGAAAAAAAAAAGAACATTTTTGTGTTCTAGGCTTACATATGTAAAAAAATAGAAAAGCAATGGCTAATGTATTTTGTGAAATTGTACATTTTCACAGTAAAATCAGTTTTTTAGTGTAAAAACTACTTTTCAAGTTATATGTAATATTTTTCTATGTATAATTATATTCTATACCTCAAGTTAAGAGAATAAGGTTATTGCAATATTATTTTGTAGTACAAAAGTCAGCTTTAATGTACATTTTCCGTAGAAGTGTAATCTGTTTGACTAGTACTGCTGTATGCTTAATTAATAATTTATAAGCAGTCAATGTCATAGCCGAACTTAAAAAACAACAACATTGTACTAGATGGAAGAAGGTTCCAAAGATACCTGGACATTTTAAATACTATGGTCATTTGGAGCATTCTCTTTTTATAAGAAATACTACAGTGTTTTACAGTAATGATCAAATCTAGTCTGCAGTGGACTGTTAGACTACTTTGCATACTCATTTGTTGAATTGAGCCAATGATAATGTGTTGATAAAGAGATAAAAGGCATTACCTTCATCACACCTCAATGCAGCTGAAAAACAGTGTAATCAATGGCATAGATAACTGTGATGTTAAAGTCATATATACAACAATAACTGAACTGTTTTCAAAATATGATTAGGTTACACATAAAAGATCATCTTATATCTTAAAATATAGGCTTATAACCAAGAAAATACTTGGTGTTATGTATAACCAGTTAACAATTTAGTGTATGGAGGGACTCATGTCAGTAGCCTATGCATTGCCAAGAGTTTATTTGCCTGTGTTATCCTTAAAAATGGAGATGAGAAGGCTGAAGATCTATTAGAGTTTATACTAACCTTGAGAAGATCGCAGTGATGTGAGACTGGCCTAGCCTGTGAGAAAGTGAAAAGTCCACAGTTTCTTTGATCTTTCATTCAATTACTGAGGTTTTGTGGACAATTCAAAGATTGTTGCAATGTTATTGTCGCTCACTAAAAACTGATGTGCATTTTAAATGGATCAAGGAGTGTGACCAAGCATTCCAGATGCTAAAGTGTGCTTAAGTTGAATCTCAGGTGTTGGTATACCCATATCAAGACTATGAATTCCCACTGAATACTAATGTTATTACATTTGCAAGATAAAGTGGAATGTGTAATCACATATGGTAGTCATATATTGATGGCTTATAAATGCAGGTACTGCACAACAAAGAAAAGTGTTGCAGTAATGGTTTTCATGAAACACTACTGACACTGCCTGTATGGTAGAAAGTCTGATGTGGCTCATGAACTTTAAAAATCTAGAGGGATGATTGCTCAGATGGATTGTCTCATTGCATGGCGAGACCTTGTTTGTTTGTTGAATGCTCTGACTCGGCATCTTGTGGGATTTAAAGCCATTTTGGTCCTAGTGCCACCAAGCCATGTGGTAAGAGATTCCACTAGTGGTTTAATGATTCAGGTGCTGTGATAAGAGCAACTGAAGGACCGAGCTCAAGTATGGGGGTCTTCTTGCCTTGTTGCAAGGTGAAGTGCTGTCAGCATAGATTGAAAAATGTAGTGCAGAGACATGAAACCTATGGTACTTATACAAGCAGTTATGTATGCAGGAAGTTATCAACCATCAAGGCATGGTTCTCAACCTGTGTTTCAGCAAGTGGTCCCCAGAGCCCTTTCACAGGAGGTAATTCAGACTTTGTCACTGATGAAACTTAATCTTACTTTTTTTTGTGATGATTGTAGTAGTAGTAGTAGTATGTAAAATAATTTTTTATTTACTTTAAAGATTCAGTTAAGAACAAAAATTAACAATGTACACAAAGCATACAATGCCCTATAACTAATGTAATATAACGAGCTTTCTAAGGTATAAGTGTCTTAAAATAATTCCCTAAACTGGTTGAGCTGAACTGGGTGATAGCAACTGTGAACCTGTACACCAAATTATTCATGAGAATGAGCTAGCATTATACATAAATCAGTAAAGTAAAATAAACCCCTTCTATTGGTTATAGATAGTGTAATAGCAAACATCAGAAAGAATTATTGACATTTGGTGAAAGAAAGGATGTAATAGGAGGGCGTGACATGTGGGTTGGACTTTCTGGTTCTGGTTTTTATCTAACTAAAACAATATGATTAGAGCATATAATAGCTAGATTATGTCTTAGCAGTATCTATAATGTAAATTTGTAACTTGCATTAAAATTCAGTTCAGATAGGGGTTGAAAGAGTGTATAAATAAGTGAGTGAAGAACTGTCACAATACAGAAAAGTAGAGATTGATAATTTCAATATTTCCTGTTGAAATCATGAAATTAAAACTTGTATAATATTAGAATTTGAATAATAAACTACATTTTAATGCAAAGTTTATTGACACAAATGGAAAATGAAGTTATTTAATTAAATTTTGAATATAACTGTAAAGCATGATATGCACACTTTGATCCACCTATATCCAGAAGGCTAATGGATTCCCATACTGAGATGATAAAGCTTTGTGCTTCTTTGGTGGCTAGCCTGTTGCAGTTAAATTAACACTATGACACCAATGTTTCCATATGCACAGTAACTTTATTTGTATAATGTTATTGTGCCCGTGGAAACTGGTGTGTTGAAAATTACTGAAAGTAAGCACAATTGCTGGTTGTGTAATGTATTTCCTTTGTAGTTATCTGTGTAGGAAACCAGTACTTGATGTTACCCCCTAACTTCCTGTTTCTTTCTTACTGGATCTGGGCTAAAAGCAACTTTACGCTAGAAATTTGTCGTAATGGGCTATTACAAGTGTAGAGCTACATTTATAGCTGATGACCATAGATTTCATTCCTGACTTTTTATATTTCAGCTCAAATCCTTAACTCTTCTGGCTATTTTGTCAATTCACCTAGCTAGTTTTTTGATGCTCAACCATTTTCCTTCATATTTCTCATTTACATGGAGGGAGAGTTGAATAAAAACTTTCTCTTTGGTGAACTAGAGACCTTCCCTGCTGTTCTCAAGACCCTAGGGGCCAGTATAATTTTCAAATAGATGGAATCCATTGATGAAAATGCATTGCTCTATGATGCATTTAATGTGCATGATCTGGCCAAGGCTTTCACCATAGTGGCCTGGCCATGAAATCTCAAAGGGTTTCTGCAACCCCCAGTGACAGTTGGTCAGTCATTGACTGAGCCACCTGCAACATTAAATACAGTGGTGGAACCAAGCCTGCTTGCTACTCAGCCGAAAACCATTACCAGTCCCACTCAAGTCAGATCCAGTGGAAACCTCAGAGAAACTCCATCTGAAGGCCAACAAAAACCCTGTTGGAGGATGTCCAGTGACAAAATACTATTGATACTTAATATGTCTTGCACCTTCAGAGGGATCATTACATCCCCAAGCCAGAGTTCAACTGAGTGCTAGGAATGATCATTTTAATTAACATCATTTACTGTGCTATTGATGGGTCAACCACCAATGGCAGGACCATCAATTTCTGAGGTCTACATCAGGCCATCCACCTCAGCAGCAGCCCTACCACTGGCCAAGCAGATTTGTTTACAGCCACAACTGAACTGCAAATGAAAGTTGAGTTCCCACCAGTATCCCCAACAGTTCTCACTCACTGACCTATGCCTATGTTGAAGCAACAATGCTAGATACAGGGTGCAAGATAAGCTGAGACCTGAGCATTCCACAACAGGAAAGAAGACTGCCAGCTGAAGTGTGGGGATCTACATTGGAGCTAGAGCAGAAATTGTGATGACCTTGTTCCAAGCTGGTCAAAACAATAAAGCTTTGGCAAGTGTGGAAGGAAATCATTTGTCAAACTAAAGTCACCACTTGGAAGTCCACCTGTATCTTAGAGGGACTGTTGTTAGGTCCTGACTAAATTTTGTATTCCTTTTTTCCCAATGCATTATTAAGAGTTTATTTTGTATCATTGTGATTTCAGTATTACCTTATACTTTGTATCTCTGCTATTGTATGGTATTCCATTTGTTTATCTGTATTAATTTGATTTAATTTTTTTATTTTTAATCTTTTATAATGTAATCTTCTTTGTTTTACTTGTCTGTGTTGCTGTGTGTTTCACAGGGGTGAGAGTAAGTTACACCAACAACTTTAGTTTATCAATGGGAATGAACAACAGTGATGCATACTGAGAAGAATAACATTATTGTTTCAGGTATATAATGTTAAGTTTTCTCAGTGTGGAACAGTTCTTAGTGGTTTTTGCAGTTCATCACAGAAATCTCTGGAAGCTTCAGTAAATGCATCATTTTTTGTAAAATACACTTGATTGTGCTTGTGAAGTAAATAAAAATTGTTTGCACTGTGTTTTACATTACATCCAGTCTGTTTCTTTTCACAAATTGGTTTGTCAGATTATTCAGATTAACTTCTGTAAAATATTTTCTTTCAAATTCTCTATTATTTTAATAGTTTCATTTTGAGTTTACTTGCAGATTAATTATATTACAAGTTACAGCTTTCTATTATTTTTTAGATCTTACTCTAACACTAATAGGGGAAACAATGCACCTGAAAATATCACACAATACAACATTATCAATATACAGAAATAATTGTGGTTTTTCTATAGCAGTATCTTACCAAACTAATATATTTAATAACAATGATACATTTTTTTGTACATTATATAAATAAATCCTTTATCATTTAATAATCAAAGTTTAAAACGTGAAAAAACAAAACAAAAGCACTTTAACTGAGATATGGATGTAAATATATCTCAAACAAGACTAGTTAACACCCATTATTCCTATAGATAAATTACTTAACATATTCTTAGAACAGTATATACTGAAAGTACCTATAACTCTCTTAACACGGGGTTGGTCAAATTGACCAACCTCATAACCTTTTTGGCTAGTTCGAGTGCAAAGTGAATTTGAAATTATGATTTCATTTATTTCAAGCTATTTACAAATGACTGTCAGATTTATCTACATTGGAAACTGCTCTTTCTCATGGTAGTAAACATTTAGTCAAAATAAGTATGTGGGGCTAGATAAAAGGTTTCAAAAGAATGGAGTAGTGGGAGGAGCTACTCTACAAGATTGGCTAAATATATTGACATCTCAGCAAATCAAAGAGGTGGGAGGTTCTTATTTTATATTCTAGCTTGTCTTTATCTCAAATTGAAGTTTTTAATTCCATAACCACTGTACATGTTGTATGGTAGATGTAATAAAATATATACTGAGCAATAAGAAAATAGGAGGTGCTGTGTGAGAAACAAAAATTTATATTTAGAATTTTTTTATTCATATTTTCTATAAAATTAAAAGCTTAAAACATTTATAATATCAAAATTTGAATTATAAACTGCATTTTGATGTCAATTCTATTGACACAAGTAATAGTAAAGCTATTTAATATAATTTTGAAAATAACTCTGTAAAAGGTCATGACATGTGCTCCTTAATCTGCCCACTGTGAAAGGGTTAACACAGATTGAAAGGAAATAAATATGACATATAGCTAAGATACAGAAAAATCTTTACCGAAGATATTGAGGCAGATGACATTTGACTAATGTTTATTCCATATTGATTATAGTGGCAGTATCATACATATTCTACTTTTGTTGGAATCTTTCTAAATTTTCACATCTCATTTCAAAATGCAGATTTTACCTGATAAATTACAATTTTTAGTTATTCATCTCCCATATTTTTGCAAACATTTAAGTGCCCATAAAATCCCTAGAGGACCTTTGTGTCTTCATTGTTTGCTGAAACATTGTTATCAATTATTGATTAAAATTTTTTATTAACAAAAATGGCTGGTATGGAATATGCATGCTAGTTTCTACTTAATTTGTGTGAGATTTTCTTACTTGTTTGCAACATACATCTCTCTTTTTTTGTAAACTGATAATATATATTGCATTTTTTTGTTGTGTGTGTGTGTGTGTGTGTGTTTTTTATCAGATCATAAAACACATTAACAATGTTTTTAGGGATTTCTTCTGTCTTCACTTGATGAGTCCAATATGTCCAAGTGTCAATTCCTGAACACACCTAGAAACAGAAAATACAAATATAGTTTGTTTATTTTTTGCTTAAACCATAGGTGAATCATGATAATAATAATAAGTACTGTATTTAACAGATATTTGTCTGGACAAGTTCAAAAGGCTGGAGATGATTCTGGAAAAGAATTGGCATTGGAAATCAGTAAAGCATGGAAAAAGTATGATCTTCAATTGACCAGAATTGAAAATTTCACAGTACTCTTGTCATATCCTTCAGAGTAAGTTAATTGTTTCTTAAACATTTCCTAATATAGTAAAAACTGGTTAAAGCATTGTGAGGAGGAATATGCCATTCGTATGAAGATCATTTGACCAAATTTTGTTTTTGGTTTTTAATCTATAGAAGATTTAAACATTTTTGCCTTTTAAAATTTTATTATGCTGCTTATGTTATGTAGGAATTACCTACATTGTAACTGTTTTCTTTTCAGGAATTTAACTTGTAAGAGTATAATTTTTTTAGTATAATAGTCAGAATTGTGACTTTTTTTGTGGATTTCTGTGTTTTGACCTTGTATAAATCCCAACATCTTAAAAAGTAAAATTGCAGACAAAAAAAATTTCCAAGGCTACAAAAACTTCCCCAAAAAATTCAAATTCAAATTTTATTGATTGTACAAATTGTCCATGAGCATAAAATATACTAGACAACAACAAAGAACATAACTTGCATTGAAATGTACAGCAGCAGCTGATTTTTATATTTCATTATTAAGCAACCAATCATGTTTCTCCTAAGAACAACAAAATTTCTGCTAAGAGCAATCTAAATAGCTGTTGTTGAACCCTCTGAATCATTTTAAAAGCATGTTTTGATGTCATTGTCAGTCCTTCAATAATCAAAGATAATGTAGAGAAGGGGAGAGAAACCATCAATGCTTCGATTATCAACTGTGTTTCTACATTTCTTTTCACAAATGTCACATTGTACTGTGTAAGGAACTGTACGCAAGGTGTGTCTCTGAGTGTGACAATCCTGTAAGACCTTCATTCACTTTTGGTGTGCAACCTCCAAACTGCCCTTGATGGATTTGCACCAGTTGGTGCAATCATTGGCTAGGGACTTCCAATTGGTAGTAGGTATATCTGCTTGATCAGGTGAATCTTTATTATGTCTTTGTAATGCAGCTTTGGTCCACCTCTCTGCTGCTGGTCAGAGGAAAGTTCTCCATAAAGTACAGTCTTTGGAATTCTATGTTCTTGCATACACACCACATGACCAGCCCAGCACAGTTGTCTTTTAAGAGGCATAGCTTCTACACTGGGCATGTTGGCACACTTCAAGACCTCCTTGTTAGTGATTTGGTCTTCCCAAAATATATTCAGGATCACTCTGAGGTGTCTGAGTTGTATGCTGGACAATCTCTGTATATGACAATGACAGAGTGTATATGTCTGCGCTGAATATAGTAGAAAGCTAAGTACCACAGCTTGATATAATTTGCACATGGTTTTGTGGTCATATGCAACACTGTTTCTAGACCCTCTTGTATAGTTGTCCAAAAGAAGCAGATGCTGCTTGGATCCAGTGGTCAAGCTCTACATCAAGGCTGTTGTCATTAGCAATTGTACTGTTGAGGTAAGTGAACTGGTTAATGATATTTAGCTTATCTCCAAAGAGAAGAACAATTGGCTCTACATAGTGAGAGTTAGGTAATGGCTGATGGAGGATTTCAGTTTTTCTCATGTTAATTGTTAGCCTAAAAGCGGAGGATGCATTGGAAAAGTGATTTAGAATGGTCTACAGACCATCTATCAAATTAGATACAAATGCTGCATCATCAGCAAACAGCAACTCTCTAACACAGATTTCCATAGTGAAAAAGGTTACTGTGAAAGTTGTAAAAAGTGAAGTATGCACAGTTTTTTTTAATTGATTCTGAAAATGCATATTAGGTGTCAAAAAATGCTTAAAATTAGGTTTGGTCCTTGGATCAGTAGCCAAATATCATGCACAATTTGAACAACTAGTTAATATAAGACAGTGGTGTAGAATTTAATAGAACTATCTACATCATGTAGGTGTGAGCAAGTCAATTATATAATTAAAAAATTATTTAGCACTGAAGCATTTTTTGTAATAATATAAATAAACTTTAAGTAAATGACGTTACCTTTATACATTTGAAACCTGTTATGTTGATTGATATTACTATTCTTAATTAGTTATCTTAAGGTAACAAATATTTAGAAGTAAAGTACTATTATAGAGCAATAAAATTTATTCACGAAGCTTCTTATGTTCATTATATCCACATGTTTTTGAATGTTTTTACCATTCTTAGCTGTTGCAAAAAAAATTCCCACATTCAATTTTGGTTTGGTCCTAGGGTTTTGATAAATGGGAGAAATGTTATTGTAAAGTAGTGCCTTAGTGGCTAACATGCTTGGACTGTGAATATAAGAGTTCATAGTACATGCTTGTTGCTGCAAAAACATGCTCTGCATTTTGGGGCTGTGGGTGTGTTATAAGAGTGGCAGATAAATCCCACTATTTATTCAGATAGAAGTAGCTCAAAAGTTAGTGGTAGTGGTTCGTGTTTTTAAGTACAGTATTTTATGAAGTTCAACTCTGAACAGACATGTGAAAGTCTTTGTACACTGTGGTTGAGTGTGAAGTGTTTGAGTCTAAATGTTTTGTGTTTTCTAGAATTTATCCATAGTTTTAGAGCTTCTCTCTTTTTTTATGTTTATTTTCATTGTATGAATATTATTTGTGGCTGCATTGTTTACATGGATTCAAAGTACATGTATCTAAACTTTCATTTCTGACTAAAATAGGTTTTATCACTGATTGCTGATCTGAAAAGAATCAATCTTATTTTTTAGTCTTAGCTATTTATAGCTCTTAAACTAATACTTAATGGCTTTGAACAAAATACTTTCAAATACCAGTGGTCTTCAAAATTGCACCAAAATAAATTTATTTACTATTAACCTGTGCTAAGTGTGTTTATTTATCAACCTATATAATTTTTATTTAATTCTCAGATTGAAAGAATCAACTCTTTCTATAGTTTGCTCTTGGTATGATAACTTCGCTACAAATTACAAGAGGAAATGCAGCACACACACACATATACCTCATGGGCCCCCATCTTTTCTTTTGGATTATCAAGTTTTAATTCATAGTTAAATGTGATTTCTATGGTAGGAGCATTATATTGTTGTGTAGTAAGTTGTTTATAATATTATAATCAGTTGTTTTATGAATTTTTAGCACTGCATCCAACACTGTGGAAGTAATTACTCATAATGGAAAAACATTAGTCGATACTTCAAGAAGCATTAAGAATGACACTTCTGAAGCAAAACCATATTTAGCATATTCACCAAATGGAACAGCACAGGTGAAAACCTAGTTTCTTAAATTTATATTTTCAAGAATGTAGAAAGTCACAATAATCTGTAAAGTATTTTGTTTATTTAAATAAAATATTTTGTATTTCAATTGCTTGAGATGCATATGTACAGCATTGGAAATAATTATGGAAATGTCCTATAAGCGATACACATACAGGAGTCAATTTGTCATTAATACAATATGACATTAGAGAGAATACAAAAGGAAAGCAAAAACTTTGTGTATCATATGAGTATTTTGTATGTGCTTAAATAGAACAGTACACATTTTTTTGTTTTACTTTATGATAAATTTATCAATGTATGATTAAGAATTATTGTTTTATATGGCCGATATTACTCTCCACATTTCATCCAAATTGTTTGCCATTGGACTTTCTCGGTTTTCATATATGTTCATACGTTCTTATAGTATTCATATCAGGACTTAGTTCAGGTCAGACCATGGTTTGAAGTGTTTCATTAGTCTCTTTTCTCTTCCAGGAATTGTTTAACCACATTTGTTATATGCTTGGGATCACTGTCTTGCTGGAAGATGAATTTTTGTCCAGCAGGTCATGCTTCTGAAGGAATTATATTGTGGATAACAGTCTACTTCTATATTTCAGCAGTGAAGCTTCCATCTATTTTATCTAGATCTAACATCATTGGCTATGATGTAGTCCATACTTGTATTGGCTCCCCAACATGCTTTAATATAACTTCTGTATGTTGATGGTGATATTGCTTCCTGTCTGCCTTTGAACAAACTCTTTAATTTTTTTAAATTGGAACTTAGGACTGTATCTGCCTATTAAGTTCAGGATGTTGTTTTGAACTGATAGCATAGCTCTTCAACTTAACAAGCAGATGCAGCCCAAAAGTTTACAAGCCTGTGTATTTTTCTCTGTCTAAAATTTTGTTAAGCAAGATTGTTGCCAAACAATTTGACTTTGAATTAATCTGCAAAGAGCACCTTTTTCCAGGTTTGCTCATCTCATTGTTTTAAGTCTGATGCCCGTTTCAGCCTTTTGATTTTGTTTCCCTTTTCAAAGCAATGATTTTTGAGCAACTACACATCTATTGAAGCTACTTGGTGCTGTTCTGGAGGTAACATTCACATTTGTAAGCACAACTAGGCCATTGGTAAGATCTCAATAGGATTGTTGTGTATCATGTAAAGACCATACTCTTAACATCAATTTCAAAGAATTTGGGCTTTTTACCTTAGTTGCTTCTACTACCATTTGTACTGGTTTCACAAGCATTATCTCTCTTAACTTTGACAGAATATGTGGTTTAAGAATTATTTTTTTTGATAAGATCCAATAAGTTAAATAGGCAAACATTTCTAGAATATATATTTAAAAAAAACAATCAAATCTGTTTTATACATATCTAACTGTTGCTACTTACCATAGTTTGCAAGTTTTGCTTATTATAAGTTTTTAATAATGGAATGTTTAAACATCTTGGATAATTTTGTTCTGTTAGAAAAAAAAAATTAAGATATTTCAGCAGTAGTAAATATCTCATTATTACAAAATGAAGTATCATTTTCTTGTTATTATGTGGTATGTAATAAAAAAACAGTGTATTTTTCTAGTACATACCATTAGTTTATTAGACCACTTAATGTGACTGATATATTTTAACTGTAAATTAAGAAGACACAAAGATGGGAATTTTCTGTACAAGTTCTACAACTGGTGGCCAAGAAGTAAATATTTACTATTAGTGATGGGCGATAATGAATTTTGTTACCACAGTATTATTTTCATATAATTATCTCAATTATTTTATTTATCACAATAATTTAGAACTTAGGCATAAAAAGGGAAGGTGCTAGTTATCTGATGAACTTTTCCTTATTTTAAGAATTTACATTTCTTAAGTTTTTATTCTAACAAACTCTAAATGAATAGTGTATTTAAAAGTTAATATTTCATTTATTTTGCAGATTTAGTGTGAATAATTATGATATTGAATAGCAAATTGTGTGGTAGTAAAGAGCTGATAGTAACAGGCTTGATTCTGTTATCAGTTCAGTAAGCTCATTCTGGTGTAAGAAAGCTGATTTTGGAAGTATTATGTTTGATGAAATAGACAATAATATATTAATTGTTATTTTTATTACTTCTTAAGAAATGGAAAAGTATGCTTATTTACTGACATTAAAAAGATACAAGGTTATTAAATTCAAAGCATACAATGTTTGTTTACGTCAAACGATATCAATCAGAAAGACTTGTATATACTAAAGTGTCAATATCCATTTAAGTGTTATATTTCAAAGTGATTAAACATTTTATTTTGTATTGCAAATGTACAACATGCAAAAGGTACCACAGAACAAATCAAAATTAATCTTGTTTGTATCATATGTATCAACCAGAGAAATTATAACTATTTCAGTAGAACCAATCACATGGTTATGCATTAGAAATTATGTTGTCCAGTGAAACTGAGATACTTTATAGGTATAGAACAAATAATAATTTACCACATTCATTTTGGCAGTTGCCTAGAGGATAGTTTATAAGGTTCACATGAAGTAATGCTAGTAATGTTGATAGGTATCATATGGTGTGGAATATGGACCTAAATGGGGGAGAACATGTATCAGGATCACATTGAAGTAGTGTTAGCAAGGTATCATTCTGTTATGGAATACAGATGGATGCTTTGAAGGGTGAACCTAAAGGGTGAGAGTAGATGTTAGCATCATATTATGATGAATTAAGAAAATACCCTAAGATTTAAATTTTGTACCAAATGCTATCATCAGCACTGTTATTTTAATTTCCATAAATCTGATGAGTAATGTTGTATGTCAGTATCTTGGTTATGTACATATTAGCAGCCTAAAGAATTGACACCACATCATCTTGCATGGGACATTTTGACATAAGGGAATAATGATTTTGTTGTCTAACAGTCTTTGTTTAGGTTGTATATATGTATGTGTAAACAAGTACTAAGTATGCATTGCAGAATGGAAATCATGGTATGTATAAGCACCAGCCGCTTGTCAAATCAGTGATGTTTGTGTCCACTGATAACACTGGTCAGTATCTTGATGATGGGCAAAATAATGATGTCACAGTTACTCGTGTTCTGAATCTATGGTTAAAACATTTACATCTGGATACAACCACATTATGTGGCTGTTGTGCACATAAAATTTAGAAATGCATTGCATCTCTTTCACAAACAAGGTGAGAAAACCTAGATGCTATTGTTTTCTGTAAAAGGGATGCAATCAACATATTACAATGGAATCCAATATCCAATCTTTCAAAGTTTTGGTATTAAAAGCAATAAACTTTTGTAGAAAAGAGTAGTAGCTACTGGACATGGTATTTACCAACATGTAGATTCCTTTTACATGGATTACGCAAGAATTATTAGTACTCTTTGTGACTGCTTTTGACCTATTTATGTGTAAAACATACAAGCTGATTCTTCCATTGTACAATGCATGCTTAGAATGTTAAAATGACCTAACATTCATCAATTATTATAGAGCTTGAAGGTTTAGTGTAAAAGAGTAAAGCAGGTGATGTGACTTTGGACATTTTGCTATTGTCTGAAGAATGTCTTGAGTCACTGACACTATACCAGCTGAAGCAGGAGATATCATACAAAAAAAGAACATTTATCTGAGGATGGACTGTATGATTGTGGGTCATTAATGGAAGGAGTGTCCTCTCTGTGCAGAGATTCAGTCCCTCGATGTTCCAAGAAGATGTACTCTTTCTGGATTCATACAAACAAGAATATCTATCAGGGCATAGACTACAGTATGTGAGGCAGTAGTGAAAGGGATGGTTTTCTCCAAACAAAGATTTAATTATGCCATGAGTGATGTAAAATGTACTCTTTGGATTCAGCATGATAGTCAATGTTACCAGTCTCTGTTAACCTGATATTGTTGTATTGCACAGGTACAATAGTAGTAGGGTGGTGTCGGTAATGTGGTTCTTGGGACTTGAGCAACATAACGAACTTTAGCTTACAAGTCCAGTTCCATACTTGTACGTGCTTAGGACATTTAACAACTATTAGTGAAACTTCAGATAAATTGGACAATGATAGAGGGTAGAATGTGAATGCTTAATGTGTGTGATAGGTGAAATGTAATGTTTTTATGTGTGAATTATGGGCAAGACTAGAAATAATTTTTGGCCATTTTAGTGGTTCTTAACATTTTGGGGATAAGTTGTGTTTGTTAAGAATTTGAAGAAGAGACAACATTTTTATTTTGTAGACCCTTATCTTTTCTTAAACTTGTGAAAAAATATTTTTCAACATCTAAGCTATCTTTAAGAATAACCTAAAATTCTTTTTGATGGTATAGAAATTTGTTGGTATCTATATTTAAACATATGTATATGGAAAAATGTTTAGGTTTTATTTTAGGAGAAATCTGGAATCTGTTGGTTGTAATTGCACAAGTGTCATCTTGGACTCCCCAGAGATTGAGGTTTGGCAGCCATTTCAGTTCTTATTATCTGGACTGATACTAATAAAAGTTTTGATACTTAATACTGCAGTGGAGCATGGGTTTCTTTGTTGATTGCTATAATTCAGTAAACCTACATGGAAAATGATGCATATGCATGCTGTCCCCACATTCCACACCAAATGTATTTTTGAGCAAACCAGTGCTTACTTTGTGGGTATATTTGCTATTATAATATAATTGGCTATAATCATTTTCAAATATCTTTTAATTTACATGCAGTTTACATGGATTTTAATAGAACAAAAGAAAGTTGTTTCATGTGTTTATAGCTAATTTATTTTGGTCATGTTTCTTTAGGGTAAACCAGTTTATGCAAATTATGGAAGAGTGGAAGATTTTCATAAACTGCTGGAGATGAATGTAACTATTAATGGAAGTGTTATTATTATGAGACAAGGAAAGACTCATCGAGGAAATAAGGTTTGTTAATACTAACTCTCTTTCTATGTAAAACTTTATAGTAAGTCTGTATCTTGTGAGCTGTATGAACATTACTTAGTTTATATATATTTTGTCATAAACTGATTTTTCTTGCTTACTGAAACTTACAAAATTCTGTGAAGATACATAAAACATTATTAGATTTATACTATGGAAACCCTTAAAGGTCAATTTGGTGTCACGAATTCAGCTGATTTAACTAAGCCTGTAATGAGAGTTAAGTTATTTCTAAGTTTGTTAAAATGTAAGATAGCTAAAAAGAGCGATTCACTCAAATGTTGTTAAACACTAAATTTAAGAATGGCTGACGAAAGGAGCTATCTTTCTGGAGATCAGTATTGGAAAAGGAAAGCAGAAAAAATTAGGAAACTAAAAATGTGACACACAAAAAAGAAATGAATAGTACCATTAGAACTGTCCAGGAACTACTTGTGCTAAAAGTAGTGAAAAAACCAGTGTTTACAACTGTATGTAAAGCAGTGTCAGAAATTGAATAAACTATAGCATCTTAATTAAAAGATAATTCTTAAGAGGAATGGTAAACAGAAGTAATACATGTGATTCTAGTTGGGTGATGAAGATGAATATCCAGAAATCAATCTCAAAAATGTGACAGTTGTTGATGAGTCTGGTACAGTCATAGACATTTGACTTTTCTAAAATGGCAGTTGTAGGGAATTCACAACAGGTTATTACACATAATGAGTTTGACAACTATTTTTAGCATACATTATTACACTTCTTATTTTGTGAAGATTATCATTCACTTTCAGTGTCGAGTTATCATAAATGTGTAATAAATGAAGAATCAACTAAATTCTATCCCTGGACAAAATGCAGTAAAAAACTGGTGTTTCAAACAATTCATCTTTTGACCAGTACTCATTCAGACTTTATTTTTTTTTTCTCTAACCATCATCATATGTAAAGCTAAGAAAAAACAGATTTCAGCATCAGTTGTGTAATCCTAACATCACAAGCACAAATGTTCACTCATTTCCACTATTTCAATTACATATTTGTAGTATTTGTTTGTCTTCTCTTCAGTAGTTAATATGAATGAAGGTGAGAAAGAATATTCAAACACTTTACATTGTGTTGTGTTTTCATTAAACTTCCTACCTTGCAATCCAGAATTTGTGTTGTCAGATGTTTGCACTTTTGGTTGAAAGTCACCTTCTTTTTTCCACGAAAACATATTCCATTTTTTTTTTTATTTGCAGCTTTATGAAGAGTCATTGTTTTTGATGTCTATGCAACAGTTTTCGGGCCTTTGTTATTGACATCGTGGTCTTTTACGCAGAGATTTTTACTTTCATATTCATTTTCACTGCTATCTGTATATTCTTTGTCCAGTTAAAATTCTGTATCTTCCTCCAAATCAGATTTAGGAGTTGTCAATAATTCAGAAATTTCATTTTCTTTAAGAGTACAATGCTTTCTCTTTTCATACCATACACTGGAACAGTTCAGACAGAAGACAATGCAGGTACTTCAAATTAAACAGAAGGAAGAAAGCATTTACTGGGCCAAATGGGCAATAGATGTTGGCACTGAACAACTGCTCTTCAACTTGATCAAGTTTACTGAGTAGGAGCAGTAACCAACAGAAAATTCAAATCGAGTATACTCAATCAGTGTACAACAGGAAAATATATGAGAACTGAGTATTCTTGATCAGAGCACAACAGGAAGTTATATGAGAATCAAATATACTAGGTAATAGCAGTTAACCCTACTGAGATTGGTCTTCCTATGGTCACGGGTCAAAAGCCATGTTATTGCCTTTGTAGATACATTCAAAATTTTATTGAACTACTATTTTATGAATGGATGTCAATATATTTGGTATCAAATTGTAGATTATAATTCAAATTTTAGTATTATACATTAGTTAATTTCTTATTTTAAAAGTAAATATTAAAATAAACATAAATATAAATTTTTGTGTGTGTCGCATGATATGTTGAATGCAGCATTGGTTCAGATTAGATGTTTGTGATGTCCAAATACAAAGTCTATAGTTTCTTACGAATTAGAAGTTCAAATTACCAATATTGAAAAGCTAAAATATAAAATAAGAACCTCTTATCTTTTCTATTTGCTGAGATATCACTACATTTATTGAATCAAACACAGTGGCTCCATCCACCTCTTTCCATTTTTGGAAATACATGTGGATAACTAATTAAAACTTTGGAATGTCCACCACATGGTTTTCTGAGTCTCTGCGAAGTAATTACATGGGAAACCCTTTCTTTCCATGTTAGATTCCAAGTGGTAAGGTAAGACATTATTGAGCTCAAAAAATCATATATTTTAGACCCAAGTACAGCTGATAAATTGTAGGGGAATTCTGTGGTATTGATATTGTAATTTATGATTTTTTGTTATTTCAAAATGCATATATAAAACCTAAAAAAAATTATTTTGTTTTACATTCTTCACTTGTGAAATTTGGTAAGACGGCAAGCACCAAACAAGTACAAAGTTCATAACTGGAAGAGATGATTGTTTTCTATACTTCTTTATTTACTGTTCTCTGTTTTAAGAAAAATAACTGAGATTTAAGAACTTATTTGTAAATAGTAATAATGTATATACATATATATGATGTATTATAACTGAAATGTGACTGTTCCACTAGAACACAGCCAAGACAGGTCACTTTGTAAAGGCCAGTTTTATAATACTGGATATGGTAACATGAGTGCACATGCACTGCATTATTCAACTTCTGTAATGTTAGTCAGACACTGCTGAAAGGTCAATTAAATAAAAATAATAACTTTTATATATGTATGACATAAGATTTAAGCTATTTAGGCTAAATATTTAGTGGTTTCGTTGTTATAATTTGTAGTAAT